CAATTCACACCAGTAAACTCAAATGGTTCAAATTCCCCTGACTATAACTCAGATTCACAAATTGACAGCCGACTGCGAATAAATGACCATTTTACCCTTCATAAGCTAACGAGCGCGCAACAAGATTCTTCCTGCAAAACTAACAGACTACACAAACCTGTTAGTAGTTAGTTAAATGCAATGCAAAAGAGATGACGTGCAAAATGTAGCTAACAATCTCGGGGCAAAATTTGGGGTATTACAGCTGAAGATACAAGTTTTAATCTTAACAAAGATTCTTCTAATGAAGGAATAGTAAGATCAAGCAATTATCAACTCTATGTTAAATGCAGATTTTATGCTTTAGGTTGTATTTGTAAAAGCCTTAAGATTTCTTACCTTTGTATATATTAGAAATCTTAAGTGTTTTAGGTCTTTGTTATGGTGATTTATCGTACCTCTGATACTTGTATCATGTATACCTTGTTTTGTATTATGTTGAGCCTTCAATAGTTTAGATTAAGTCTCCTGCTATGTGCTTGAGCAAAAAGTCTTGTCTCATTGGGATTCAAGAAACAAGTCTTGAGCCAAGATGCTTAAGTCATGTAAGTCTCATTGCTTAAGTGATTGACCTATGAAAGTCTTATTCAGCTAACCTGATTGAGCAAGTAGGGAGGTCTACGTCTGAGGGGCGAAAGCAAGAAGTATCGAGTGCAGTTTGAGCAAGGGAGTCTCAGTCTGGATGGCCAGAAGAGCAGGTGGCTCGGCCAGAGGATGTGAGCAAAGAGAAGTATTAGACATGTGCTCTAAGAAAAGGAAAGTCTCAACCAGATGACAGAAGAACAGATGACTCGGTTAGATGGTGTGAGAAAAGGTTAAGTCTTAGACATATGCTCTAAGCAAGGGAAGTCTTAGACAGTTGGTCTGAGCAGTTGTAAAAGTCTTATGCAGAAGCATAAGAGATTGTAATCATGAAGTGGTTATAATGAAAAGCTATTGTGAGGCAAGGGGACTGAACTAATCTCAATTAGGAGAGGAACCTGTATAAATCTTTTGTGTCTTCTGTTGTTATTTTATTTACTATTATATTCGCCGCCAAACGAATTAACTCAGAATCTGAATATCAATTCTGATTCTGAAACTATGATCAGAAGCTAAATTAAAGGAGAATGTGAAACACAATTCAACCCCCGCCTTCTTGTGCATGTTTCACACCTTCACTGAAGACTCTTAAGACAAGGTTCTGCTGAACGAAGATCTAAGACTCTGAAAACTTAGATTCTAAAGTTACAAGTATTGATTTCTCTACACGTGCTTCATTAAATATACATCTGAAGCCTCTAAAGAACTAGAAGACAGAAGATCAAGAATGGTTGGATAATATACTTAATATAAAAGTACAAAAGTACTTTGTGACCTCTACCTTGAAAAGGTGGCGCAAAGACAACTTTTTTGTACTATGATGTAGACCATTCATTCTAGTGACCATTGGGAACTTACTGTTGGAATATGTTTCCATTTATATCCTCCAACGGATCTATTCTCAAACTCTATATATTGAAGATTTGAATGTTTGAAGGATAATTATGAGAGAGCAAAAATGAACAAGAAAAGAAGAAAAGCTGAGAGCTAAAAGAGCCAAACAAAAAGAAAAGTCAAGAAAGGCAAAGCTAAGCAGACTATGTTCATCCAAAAGAAGAATAGAAAGATCTGAAGAAAACACGAGAGTATGTGTGCAAAGCGGAAGCAAATCACCAAGATGTAAGCTCAAAAAGAAGATGTTTGATGCTCAAACAAAAGATAAAATGTTGCTCACAAGAAAAAGAGGGAAACATTAAAAGAAGCTTTTAAGCAACAAAACTCATGCTGATACAATACAAATCTCTTGAAGATTATTCTTAAGATAGTTTTATATATTAGCAAGGAACTGCTCTTCATATTTTGCTAGAAAAACTTTTGTGTTTATTGTACTTAAACTTGTGTAATATGCTTATTTAGAAGAATCTCTTATACACACATATGTAACACTTTTTAAAGTGGTTATTCCTCAAATGAATAAGTCGTTAGTCTGTATACTTGAGAGGGCTAAGTTGTTTTCTAACACTTAGAGGTTATAATCTTTCTAGATTATTGGATCAAGTCCTTGTCTAAGGTGAAATCACCTTGGTGGATGGATTGGAGTAACTTTGTTAACAGTGAACTGGGATAGAAATAATTGTGTCTATTTATTTTTATTTGCTTGTTAGCATTGAAGTTTGAATTTGGAGAAAAGTTAACATTTGGTGAAACCCTATTCACCCCCCCCCCCCCCCTCTCTTGTGTTTCTTGTCCCTTCAAAACCAACAAAATATGTCTTATTAGTTGAGGTAACACCAACCATCTCAAATAATGAAAGTTTATGCTTGTTGATCTTGTAGGTTGAATCAAGTATGAGTTTAGTAGGAAACGTGTTGAACAACTTTATGGAATCAGGATGAGTCCAAAATATATATCTAACAATAACTCCATCCTCGCACGTTCGGTACCTAGACACGTAACTGTTATCATCCAACAATTTCAAGAGTTGTTGCATTTCAATTCTATCCCCTTTAAGCGCCTTATTAGTAAGGTACCAAATATTATACACTTGCTTGATATTTGATATATTGTAGGGTCATTTTCATTTCAATGTTGCAAGTATATTTTTCGGTTGAACTAGATTCAATGTCATGTCAATAACACATTCCTTCTCTTCCGACATAAGCCGACACACACTAGGATGACCGACTGATTTCTCGCACAAATCATGGTTATGCAAACCACATATCACATAAAATCTCCAATTTTTATTTGCCAACATGTAACTATGTACCTTAAACGGACACTCACATTTTCTTGAACCAGTGTCGTCTATTTTAAAATTCAGGAGAGGAGTTCTATATTTCCCACTTCTTTCGCATGTCATTGTCACAAAAGCGCATCTTCCATTTGAATCATTATCGGACATTCTGATAACCACACCAAATCCAAGTTTAAAGGCCTCTATACAAATCCATTGAAGCATTTTATCACGAGATTCAAACTCTTGCTCGTTTTTAAATTGGTTGCTGAAATTATGGCAAGCACACGATGGATGTTATTGCCAAAGTTATAACATCCACTGTGACATTGACTACTGTACTAAATAATTAAATTGTAAGTAAAAGCAGTAAATAACACAACAATTGTTCACTCAATTCAGTGTCAACAACACCTACATCTAGGGGCTACCAAGCCAAGGAGGAAATTCACTATCAGTAGAATTAATTCAGAGTCAAACAACTCAGTTTGCACTCCTCACTTAAAACCTACCCAATGGCACTTCAACCTAGAGACACTCTAGACCTGAGTATTCCCACTCACTCCCCCTCAATCACACCACAGTGATATCCAATTACAGTTACAGAATAAAGATGAAGAAACACTTCATACACACCTTGATCTTGCTTTAAAGCTTTGATAAAGGGACACACACACTCTTGCTTAAAAGCTTTGAGTGAGACACAACTTAGAATCTACATAACCAATGCAGCAGACAGTTGCTTGGTAAACAAGTATTCCTAAGACTCAATTCACACGTGAAGAACACACTTTCTTCACTCACAATACTCACGTGAAGAACAACCTTCTTCACTCACAAGGACTCTGTAATATGCACTCTCTATTCTTCTATCAGAAGAATTTTCTTCTACAATTGCTCCTTCTGATATTTATAGAGCAGTCAGTCCTTTGGGCCTTGGTGCGCACAATTAGGTTTAATCATAACAAACCCTACTCTTCAATCATCTGCACGCTTGCCATTTAATTCAGGAGCATTTGTTTCGCTTTAGGGCTTCTCAAATGTCTCATATCTTTTAGCTTGAGCTCCTGATTTGTTTCCTGATTTCTAGATACCAGAAAAACTAACTTGCTCGCTGGATGTCATACGGTCAGTGTCATGACATTCTGTATGACATTCAGCTTAACTTATAGTTAACTTACCCTACACACACATCATTATGTATGTCTTAACATTCAGTATGACATACATGTAAACTCTAATGTTTTGCCACAAAATGCAGCCAATCAAGAGCACTTACAGTTGCCAACATATATCGCCTTCACAACAACACCTTGGACATTCGAAGAAACAACTTATTTTGGAAAAACATCAGGGTGCACCATATCTAATGAAAACAATTAAAACCCTAACAATATATAAGCACCACTGCTAAAAACATAATTGAAAAATAAACACATACTTGAAAAATAAACACATACTAGTTTCGGAGATGCATCTTCGAACAAGTTCGTACTCGTTTCGAAGATACATTTTCGTACACAAAGCTCCTTTTTAAAAAAAAACTTTATTGATGTGAGCAATGCAATGGGAAATAAATTATCTTTACCTAAAATTCTATCTTCTTTTTCTCCCTATGATGTGATGAACCAAAATAATGGAGATTTGGAGTGAAAAAATGGATTGAGAATGAAGGAGTTTTTGGTGAGGGCTTGTGTTGAAAAACATTAATGACAATAATGGTTGTGTGATCATGCTGCTGTTTCTTTTAATAGATTATTCTGGAGATGCATCTCCGAAAATATCTGACATGTAAAGGTGATAGAAGATTTTAAAATTCCGTCCAAATTTTCGGAGATGTACTTCTGAAATTTCTACTGAACTGTTCAATAATTTACATATTTCTTGAAATGTTCTGGAGATGCATCTCCGAAATAAAAATAACCCAACTTATAGGGCACACTCATAATAGTATGTGTTGAGTGTGTAATAAATGCGTTTGAAGATGTAGTTCCAAAAACTGAAGGCAATTTTATATTTTCGCTTGATGTCTAAAAAACTTATGGGGTACATTGAGAAATGAGCCGATAAATTCTCAAATTCTCAAAGCTAAAGTAGGGCCCAACAGCAAGAAACGAATAAGCCCAAATAGGTCCAGAAGCTTAAACCTCTCATCTCATAACCCCATTTCTGCGTTGCAACAAGACGAACAGAGAAAACAATCATGGCGCAATGGTGGCGCTCCGCCGCCGGCCATCTCCGATCAGTGGAGGCGAACCGTACGTCCTCTTTATCGTCACTCCGTCGTAGTCATTACCATACAATCCAAGCAATCCCGAGAGAAAGCACCGGCAGTAAAGTCGCAGCCAGAGACAGAATGCAAGGTCGAATACCGGCCGTCGTTTTCTTCCAGAACCTTCTTGACAAAACCCCTGACTCACGATCCACGTCAAGGAAACATTTACTCACCGTCGAGAAGAAGCAGATTAAGGCAGTGCTCAATTCCATTGAAGCACCGTTCTTCTGTTCCACCCGTTTTCCGCTCCAGATTCGTGCTGGATCCGGATCCACTCATTTGCTTGAAAGCGGAACCGTGCTACCTGTCAAGGTTTATGTTTTTGTGTTTATTGTATATATTTTTGTTTAAATTTTGGAAATTATGGTTTTTTTGATTTTGTGTGTTTGGCGTGTAGATTCATAAGGATAAAGAGAGTGGGAATATTTTGAACTTGGTGTTTGTTTGGGCTGAAGATGGAACGAATTTGAAGGTTGATGTTCCTGTTGTTTTCAAAGGTGAAGATGTTTGCCCCGGTCTTCAGAAAGGTAACTCCATTTATTTTGAATTTGAATTTGTTAATGAAATGGGAAAGGTAACTACTTTTCTGAAGCTCTCAATAGTAATAATCATAATAATCATGTGTATGCTTTATATGGATATTGCTGAGCAGTGTGATTTTGGCTTTGTTGAATATGTTTGGTTTGTATTATGCACGTTTTAAGAGAAGTTGTTAGGAAAGATTCTTGAGATTAACTATTTGGATAGAAATATGAGTTGGATAGAGCATTATGACGAAAGTTTATCTATGTAGCCGACTTTACTTAGTGGGATAAGACTTGGTTGTTGTTGTATTGACATATTAGTTGAAAGATATAGAAACTAAAACTAGGACAAAATATTGTCATTTAAAGAGGTAAAATTTTAAGTCAAACTATTAAAATTGTGGCGTGAACCATGTAGCTGGTCTCCCCTAGTGAGAGGTAAATATTTGTGCTGAGGTGCAAAAGGGGATAATAAATTGGATAGGTGATTTGAAATATGTGTTTCATCTTTCAAGATTTGACAATAAATTTTTTTTTTGTATGATGCAGTTTCAGCTTGTTTATTGTAATTTCTAAGTTTGTATGAAATGTATTTTATCTGGGAATCTCTTGGACACTGGCTTTCATTTCTTATATTATTTTTCACAGTTCTCAACCCCAGATAAGCATAGGTAGCTGAACCCAAAACCTCTTTTAGCAGGATTGCCACCAGATAGAATATTTGCCTTTGAGCTTATCTTTGTTTGGACTAAAAATCCCATTGAACCCACTGCTTGCCATTGTAGTTTTAGACAAGCTCTTTTTTTCCGTCCAGGTCACGTCCCTGCAGAGTGATACTATTTCCTCAATTCCCATGTTCTTTTTGTTAATACTCCTTTTCACTGGTGAGCATTTATGGCATTATCTAAATTGTCACATGGTAATAGCTCCACAGACCCAAAGCACCTCTGCCTTACTCTCCTCTCTTCTTTTGCGTTGGTAAAACCTAACTGTGGGGTTACTGGCATCAGTGGCCTGTCATAGTTTTGGAATAGATTTGAAAGATATTATTGATTGGTTGTGCTGAGAAGAGTTTATCTTGTCTCAATTTTTGCCTTCTTTTCTTGTCTTGCTCATCTGTTGTAGTTATTGGTTCCTCAAAAAAATTATGTAACAGCGTTGCGTCAAACTCACTTTTTAGTTCAAGGAGTTTTGGAACTCAAGAAATCAACAAAATGGTTAATAATTACAATATTTTTTAAGGTGTTTTCTTTACAATGCGTATTGAACATATTTTGACCCGTGCTTGTTATATGCCTTAGTTAGGGAGGCCTGCTGTTAGGCTGGGTCAATTGACTTATATACACTTTGATAAAATGCGTCCCGTGTCTTAAAATATCAGCATTCATAATTCAAGCCACATGATTTTGTTTGAGTGTATACAAATTTAATACAACTAGACTATTAGTGGGAATTTAATGTGGGTTCTACTGCTAATTGAGAGTCTAAACTTTATATGCCATTACTACAGGTGGTATTTTGAATAAGATCAGACCTAGTCTTACATATCTTTGTCCTTCCGAGCACATTCCTTCAAAAATTGAGGTGGATATCAGCAATCTAGATATTGAAGATAGGATATTCATGCGTGATATTGAGGTTCATCCATCTTTGAAGCTTCTTAGTAAGAATGAAAACATGCCCATATGTAAAATAGTTTCAACAAGTGTGGGAAACCAAGAACCAGTTGTTGAAAGTGCATTTGATGAGACAAATGCAGAGACTTCCAAATAAACAGGGTTAACTCCCAGATTCGAAGGTATGTTGGCAGTGGCAACGAGTACAAACACCTGAGATGTTAGAACTGTTTTGTATTAGACTATTTTGGTGCATGAATATAGGTAGGTGGCTGTTGATTTATAATGGATTGATCTGTTCATTCAAAATCTTTGATGGCATAGAGTTGTTTGTCGCATTGTTGTTTAATCTCAGAATATAGTGTAGCTTTATCTTCTGGTGGTTTAACATGTTATGTTTGAAGGATTAAACATGAATAAAATTTAACTATAGATCAATGATGTAGAAAATGTTATATTTCTAAGGGTTGTTTATGGATTAAAACTCTATTTTACTATTTAAATGTTGGGTCGAGAAAATGTCAATGCATGAATGAGTTAAATGGCAGACTGCAGGGAATAGTGGTCCAAAAATTGGTGAGTTGGTTCATACCACTTGGTACTTTCAGTTTACTGATCATATAAAATCTCGTGTCAGTGCAAACTCTGCAAATGTCGTGTATTGAAGCTTCTGTGTAAACGTGAGATTGCCCATTCAAACATACGCTTTATGATACTAATAAATATGGGTAATGTTAACTTGTGCACTTGGACACATGTTAAAAAAACCACTTATAGTAAATTTGCATTGGAAAAAACGATTTAAAAATTAATTTTATACTTTAAATAAAGTTTATACACAATTTTCAAGACAATGTTTTTTAACTTAGTTCTTAACATGTGCCCCAAGGGCACAAGTTAACATTACCCAATAAATATTAATGTTGTTTTATCTGTTATATTCTTTATTATTGATTTATTATTGATTAGTCTCAATTTCTTTAATTAATTTTTTTATGTTATTAATAAAAGATAATTTTGTAAAGTCACTTATAACTTTTTCGTTTTTATATAAAATAATTTATTATTTTTTAATTTGAATGAATACGGTTGAATGAATTATATTTTTTAATTTGAATGTCATTGTTAAAATAATTTAGAATTTTGGATGGAGATAATATTTTATCCTTAAATTTGATACATAATAAAACTATAATATAAACTTGTATAGTTCTTCTTCTTGGGGGAGAATGTGGTTTTACATGTTTGTATGTATAATTGTCTGTTAGATAATCATAATTACAATGGTATTAATGATGACAATGGTATTAATGATGACAACATGTCAAATGACATAGTGTGAAGTCTTTATTGTTTAGGAAGAATATGAATTCAAATGGTCTAGAATAGGAGGTTCAATAGGTTGTTTTTAAAAAGATGATTAAAAAAATTCTAATTTAAAAAAATGTTTGCTTTTTAAAATTAGAGTTTTAAAAATCACTCGACGTGTCCTAGATGTGATTGAAATTATTGTGTCGTAAACACTTATATTTAGAGGTGTTCATGAGTGCAGGTTGATTCACAAATCTACTGATTCAAACTGAACCAATTCATAAATTACACAAATCTATTCATTTACGGTTATATTCAACTGTTGAATGTATAATATGTGGGTAATAATTTTATCGTCTCCACCGGGATTTTCGTGATATCACTGTTGTTCTATAGTTTAAAGAGTTTTAAGTGAGGATTTCAAAAGAGTTTTTGTTTGGTATCATAAATTTCACAAGTGTTTTGTAGCAAAGATTAAAGTTTGAAAGATGTTTGTTTAAAAAGACATGTCAAGAATAGATTTCATCAACCTAACTTGTATGTATTCTATAAATCAAGCATGTGAATTTATTTTCGATCAATATAATCATGTATCCTCTCAATATCGTTATGTCTAAAGCGATTTTGTGAGTATTATCGTATTAATTACTAGATGATGTCTCATGCTAACAATCAACACAATAAACTTAAAGATCGATACAAATTGAATATTAACTCACAAATCTATGTCTAGAGTTTGTTCATTCATAGATGAATAACTTAGGTCAAGGTTTGAAAAATACCTTTCAATAGTGATTCAAATCAAATATATATCATTAAGAGCAAAGGTATTCATAATACATTGATCATCAACTTGTTCACATACAAAAGATTAAAGAAAATATATACAAGCTTAAGGAAGACTACATCTACCCTTGATACAAAGGATTTAGCTACCAAAAACCATAGTAGCTTGCTTCACAAGGAAAGGAAGGAGATGAATGTGCATCCAAGATGAAGAATTGATAATGGATGCAAATTCAGCTCCTACTTTAAATAACTTCTAAAGTCTGAGCTAACTCGCACAATGAGCTCCCCTTTTAGGCACTTCAAGTGCCTCAGAATAGCTGAACCACCCTTCAGGAAATATTTGAGTTCACACAACGACTACAACGCAATTTAGCTACTATCATCTCTCTGTTTTGCTTCGCTTTCACTTCGCTAAGAGGTCGCATAGCGAGCTAGCTGAATTTTCTCTTCTTTTCTTTTGGCTTCCTTTTGCATTCTTTTGTGCCTCTTTCTTTGAGATTCATGCTTAATTCCTGTACATTAGCACACAAATAAATGAATCCAAAGAACAATGCAATAATGTTAGAAATTTAAACAATATCATGGAATAAATCATCTAAAACATGATTAAAGAGTTGAAAAATGCTTAGAAAATTGTTCAATTTAAGTCATATTTGGCATTCAACAAACTCTCCCAACATAGATCTTTGCTAGTCCTCAAGCAAAGTATGTCTCTCATGAAAATAAGAGGATTTGCTCAAGCATAAAATTCATCAAGAAAGGATTAACCGTTCAAATTCAACAAACGAATGCGCATAACCAACGTTCACCACTTACTAGAATCAAACAATGACAAAGAACTTAGTTCTTAAAACAAATATCATACAATGCATTCATAAAACAACTAAATTATCATACTTGAATCACTATAACACTCATCTTCATATAATGGATGAAGAAATTTGCGCATTTTGAATACGCAAGACAATTACACTCACCTGAAAAATAATGCTAACAACAAAATCAATTCATACATTCATCTAATAATTATATTAAAAATTATGGAAGCAAAAGATCACTAAGGGCTTGTAAGGTTGTAGCTTGGTCGGACTTCACAACAAATGGTCATTTGTTAGGCTATTGAAATGAAGTTGCCAAGCAAAAGAAACATTCACTAAACAATGTATTTAGACATCACAACTTCTTTCACCATTCTATTTTCTCTATTGCTCACCCTTTCAAACTTCCTTAGCACAATTATTTTTCGTCATTTTTCTTTTTGTTTTTTATTTCCAACAAGCATTTTTTTTCTTTTCTTTTTCACAATCATATTCACAATTTTCTTTACTTGTTCAAAAAAAATTTAACAACCTACTATTTTTCCTTTATTCTCCCCAACTTGAATATAATCAAATCTTAAGTGAATTCTCCCTGCTTTTTATGGTAAGGATATAAGTTCAAAACAATGATCAAAGTTCAAAGGTTTAAAGAAAAAAAATTTAGAATCCCACAAAAATTCAATGATGAACCAATCTTTCAAGTTTCTTTATGTATACAATCAAGGTTCATCATCAAAATGGGTTCTAAACTTTAAGGCTCAAAGGGGTTAACGAATACTCGCTACTCACAAGGTAAGTCACTATTTGGTTATGGTTGTGCTCAATATCAACAAAGTGTCTTGATCATTTCTAATCTTCCATAAAATCACAACAATTAAAAGATTAATCATGAATTAAACGAGTTAAACAAAGTTATTAGTCATCCAAAGCAATTAGTGCACAATTGAGGTAAAGCAATTAATGCCTCAATTAATCTAAATTGTTTTACACTAGATGTGTAAATAGAAGTTACACAATTGATTAAGAAATATATGAATACAATTTTCAGTTTTAATGACAAGTAAGATCCTTCAAAATCTTGATCTAACACTTACTTAATTTTACAGAGGAAATCGCTATGAAGGTGATAAAATCTAACAACATGCAATTTCTAAGAAAACGGTAAATACTAAGCATATGATTCTAATATGAAAAAAATGAGATAAGGAAAAAGAGAGAGCACATCAGATTTATAGTAGTTTGGCATGTTCATCCTTGCTTTGTGCCTAATTCACTCTCAAATGATTTTCCATTAAAAATTCATAGTCTTCCACTATGATTTGACAATTGTTTTACATCTTCTTTAATATAATCACAAGATTCAAGGTAATGTTGTAAATTTAACAATCTTTGATTTAAATCTTCTCTTTGAATGTATATAATATATGAAATTTATTTATGCAAGATCTGCACTCGATCTTGACTTCCACCTTTTAGATTTAATAATTATGCTCCAAAGAAAAAAAGAATGCGCCCATTTTGCAGCAACTTCTCCTAAATCTTACAGGTTCCTTGTATGAGCCTTGATATGTCTAAATGCAATTGAAACTTCAACTTTGTTCATAGAAACTTCCACACAGTTATATTGAATCAATATTGGAGAAAAGAAACTCATTCTTTTTCGCTACTGGATTGTCAATCTCATCCACAACCATACAAGAATGTTCAACCTGAAATCTTTAAACCTTTACAAAATATTAAATCTAAATGAACCTCCTCACACAAATCTCACACACAAGGTTGAGAAGCTAAATCAAACAACAATAGTAGAATTATAGGTTGAATATGAAGTGAAGTTTCATATGCAATCTCAAAACAAAAGCTCAAAAATGATTTTTGAAACTTTGATAGAAAAGTGTGTTGTTTGTGTTATGATTCTCAAATCATATGTATGCTAATTGAAAGAGACCGAGAAAAATGATTTATAAATGTGTTGGAGATAATGCATAAAAATGAGAGAAAATATCCATTTGATTTGAGTCAAGAACAAATGGTACGGTTAGATTCGAGTAAGTGAATAATTTGAATCAAGAATTAAAAAAATCCATAACAATGCACCTTTGATTCAAATCAATGACTCAAGTCATTAATTTTAGTGACACAAACCCATGATCTAAATCAAACACATAAAATCAAAATCCAAAATCTACATGTAATTTTTTATTTGACTCACGCTATTCTATGATTTAAATCAAGACCT